GTCCTGTGACCCCTTGTTCTCCCCCACTTAGCCTATGGGGGTGTGTCAAACATTGTATGTGTTATATTTGTGTAGGCTATTGTGGGTTAGCCTCTAGGGGGTACAGAACTTTAGGTTTGTCATACTTGTACTCTCATTCTGCTGCTAGTCAATCATTCTCGTTCTCTCTTAGTTTCTAACAATCCGACACTCGAGCCATGGAAGATTCTGAACCATCGCGTGGATCTAACGGCCTCAGGACGCCGCGTCGTCGTTTTACTTTGCTGGAAAGATCGCACAAGCGACGAACGTTGCCGCTGACTCGCTATAGGGGCACCCGGTTCTGCAGGATTATTTGACTCGCTGGCGCGTCCCGGATATACACCACCTTTCTTAAATGGGGGGGGTAGTGTAAGGAATTTTCCTTAATTCCTTACTGAGTCACACTGTACGCGTACAGACCCCAACTTCCGGAGTTCAGGCTCGGTCCGACAACCTCACCCTCCGAACCACGCGTCGCCTTCGGGTTTCCCAACCCCGAACCTGCACCCAGCCACTCGCGGTCCCGCGACCTCGGCCTAGCTAGCCGTTGCTATATTAGTGCTAGGCTTCATTATTTGCTCAGTACTTGTTATCACTTCCGCGTTATTGAATCCTGCGCACTTTCGGGTTTCTGTCTCTGTTGCTTGGAGGAGGAGGTCAAGCGCGCCAGTTGCGTGTGGGCGGATGGGAAGGAAAGCCATCGAAACCAGATGCAGTACAGTACAGATGGTTTGTCCTAGAAGAGTCCCATTTTCTCGTCGAGAAGATTTTTCCTATGTGTATCCCCTCCTCTATAATCCCATTTTTGGCGGGAACTTTTGCCTCAGCTAATCGGAGGACTCGAATTGAACCAAACCGGCTCACTGTAAGGAAAATTCATTTTCCTTACTTCGCGCCCCTGCTTACCGCGTACATGACCATTCCCGCCACCAGCACCCAACAGTGAAACGTTACCCGCTCGCGACACTCGCCTCGACCACGACTCCCGCCACTGTTCACGAGGCGACCCAACCTCACGGTTCGGTTGGTAACCCGCGCTACGGACCTCAGCCTCAACAATTCCCAATATTGGCGCTAGGCCCGTAGCGCACCCCAATTTCTCGTGTTACCGTTACCACGCTAGCTTCGCTATATATTCTTCGCTCAATGGATTGTTTTGCTTCGATAGTGCAATTCTCGCTTGCTCGCTCAATTGCACTCGTAACACTCACTCGAAATTTACTCAGAATGGATTATTTGTGCATATCAAATATAAAATGTACTATCAATTCGTGTTTATATTGACTGCGTTAGCTTCTGCATCCCATCGCGCGGTTCCCACCGCGCTCGATGGTGCCATCTCATGAAGCTTGCTGACCGGCAGAAAAAAAAAAAAAAAATCTCATGTATAAAGGCATTAAACAATATGGTCATTAATTTGTTATGCCCGTTGGGAACGCAACGATGACCAGCGACGAAACTGTGCGATAAGAACTCGAAACAAGCGCGGTCCCATTGTGAAATTGATAGCCAAAACAAAATAACCAGTTTTTTTGTTTACTGCCTTTTGTTCAATCTGTCCTAATTTGTTGGGTTATAGTCCCATTTGCCCGGGGTTTTTGAAATTTTGATACATAGTTCACGCGCGACGTGTTTTTCCGTCGGACTATAAACGATAACATCAGTACAAAAAAATCGCAATCGGAATCGCATCTACAACGTGTTATAATCTATTAGTTTTCCAAGTGTTAGGCCCCTTGGCATAAATCCACTAAGCAATAGCGGGGTCGACTAAGTCGATGATGAAACGCGGCGGAAGACTTTGGCAAAGGAAGTGTTTGCGAAATAGGCGAAGAAGTTACTGAGTTAAGAGTTGAACGAGAATTGATTGATATTGGCGAATACAAGCAAGGTTGATATAGCATGCAACGGCGAATGTTGGAAAGTAGTTCGTGGGACTAAGAATGGGAATGCAAGAAAACTCGAGTGCCACGTGGCGGACTACAAATCCTAGAAATCCCCAAGGGATTGGATGAAGATGAGGTTGGGATGAGGTTGGGGGCACTGTTTAGGGTAAACAACAATTGAACAGTAAACAACCCCGTAACACTACCCCCCCCCCCCCCCCCCCCCCCCCTCAAGGACGCAACGTCCGCGGCGCCTGCAGATTGAAGGTACGCTTGGAGGCAAGCATTGTCGGGACAGCGAGGATGAAGGAAACCTGCTGTCGTCGGCTACATCGCAACCACGCAAACGAACCAAGAAGTCCATGAAAGAGACACCCCCCTGGAGACGGCGACGGTGCCTGAGGATGCGCTGGATCTGGTAATCGGCCTCGTCGGTGTCAACAGCTACCGGCAGTGGAGTGCGATCACGGCCCGAGAAGGTGGCGTTGGGATCGGTGTATGGATAAAGGAGAGACACGTGGAATGACGGATACATGCGGAAATGAGCGGGAAGACGAAGGCGGTATGCGACTGGACCTAGTGCGCGCTCAATGACGAATGGGCCAATGAAATGCGGATGGAGCTTGCTGTCCTGTGGCAGTCAGAGGTTGCGGCTATCCAAAAGGACACAGTCGCCGACCGCAGGTGGTGCGTTCCATGCGTGTATTTGCGAGCTCAAGGTGCTGCCTCACATGATTGTGAATGAAGGTGAGATGCTGGTAGAAATTGTCCGCACGAAGGACTGTGGGTGTGAGATCGACACGAGTGGGGACATCGGGGTGCTAGCCGTACAGTGGGAAAAATGGTGACATGCATGTGGACGAACTCGGCCATGCTCAGCTTCTTGTCCCATGTGGCTGCGTCGTGCATCGTGATGCTGCAAAGAATCTGCTCCAAGGTGTGGTTCACACGCTCAGTCTGTCCGTCTGTCTCCGGATGGTACGTAGACGATATGGCTAAGCGAGTCATGAAATGAATCGAGGGACAGAGGTGCAGAAGGGCACGGGCGTGGCAGTAGCAACCACCACCAGCAGCTGCTGCACCAGCGCAGAGACATGTGTGGAAGGGCACTGGCATGGTGGTAGCAATCAGCAGCAGCAACACAGGGACAGAGGGATGACAGTACAATCAGCAGGAGCAGCATGGGGGCAGAGGTGCAAAGGGGCATAGGCATGGCAGTAGCAATCACCAGCAGCAACAGTAGCAAATAGACAAGTGTAGAAGTGCACTGGCATGGAAGAAGCAAGCAGCAGCAGCAGCACAGGGAAAGAGGTCCAGAGGGGCACATGCCTGGCAGTAGCAACCAGCATCATGCGGAAGTAAATAGACAGGTGTAGCAGTGCACTGGCATTGCAGAAGTAAGCCGCAGCAGCTCAGGGACAGGTGCAGAGGGGCATAGGCATGGCAGTAACAACCAGCATCAGAAGCACAGGGACAGGTGCAGAGGGGCATAGGCGTGGCAGTAGCAACCAGTAGCAGCAGAAGCGGATAGAAAGGTGTAGAAGTGCACTGGCATGGCAGAAGCAAGCAGCAGCAGCAGCAGCACAGGGACAGAGGTGCGGGTTGAGGGGCACTGGCATGGGCAGAAGGAAGCAGCAGATTGAAGGGACATGAAATGCAGAGGAGAATGGGATGGGAGAATGCGAAGGCATGAGCAGCAGCATGTGGGCAGGAGGGGCAAAGGCATGGGATGGGAGAATGGAAACATGTTAGCATCAACGTTTGGGCACGAGATGCAAAGGGGCATGCGATGGGAGAGGAGAAGCGGCAACAGCAACAATGCAGGAATAGGAGCATGCAGCAGCTGCTGAGGTGTTAACTGCTATAACGTTATGCGGAAGCGAATAAACTTGAACTATAAACTTATCTTGGCAACACTTAACATCACTTGCAGCCCTTCGAGTGTGACAGCTTGTCACCTCCTAGCCAAGGGCGTAGAAAAATAACAAGTGAGTAGTTATGCCTTGTTCAACTTGTAGGACGAGCAATCTGGTCGAGCAGAGCTTCGGCAACACTAGGGTAAAGTTTCTACTCTCGTGAATACGAAGTAGTAGAATTAGAACATGAAAAAACGCGAATGCATTCGATTGATTTCGACAGGTACAAGCACACATTTATATAAACTCTAAGCACACGCAAGGGCAAACATAAAACAGTCGTTTAACTAATCCGCAAGATTTTGCCATGCTGTATTTGAAAACGGTTGCTCAACTCCTTGAACATTTGGCTATATCCTCCTCTTGTTAAAAACTGTCTTCAAGTTGCACTTGTAACAATTGCCCCTGCTGACTGTGTGCACTCATGAGACTCGCATGTGACTCCAATGTAGCTCTTATGACTTCATGCGAGCTCACAGTTGTAAAACGGCTTTTACCGTTTGAAAAACGGAATAACCGATTTGTACCTGTGGCGAAATGATCACGCAAAGCGGCGTGACATTCACGAGAAGTTTCCCGTCCCGTGAGTCAGCACGGGATACAGTTTTTCAACTGTACACATGATGCCCAACCACTGCGCGCGAATTTGCCTTGCACATTTCAGAAACTCTGAACCCGTGTTTTTTTTTGCCGGGCAGTTGCACCCAGGGTATAGACACCCGGATCAACTTGCATTTGGGCAAGGAAACGCCAAAGTATGAATCTTAGGAGCAAAACAAACCATGCTGACAGCATAGCGAAATGCTTGGACGAAACTAAGTTGACGTCGGGCGCCAATTCTCAGTTGACTGTGTGCCACGTAGGGTGGTTCAAGGTGCCTCAAACAGACTTAGGCAAGGTTCACCCAGCCACGTGTAAATTGCCCAAGCTCGGTACAAACCCACTGATAGCCATGCGTTGTTCAACACGCCCACGTCACACCTTGTGGTTGTGGTAACAGGGTTTACTAGGGCGTCATTTCAAGGCAATATACATGCGCTGTTCTTGACGTTTGGGCTAGCCTTTGCACTTGCGAACGCACTCTCCTGGCCCGACCAGGTGAACATCCTCAATCGATAAAACGCGAAGAAATTCTCTCGACAATCATAGTCTCTCCTTACCTCTCATAGTTTCAAAAATGCCTCGCCTCTACCACCGGTCCCAGCTAGCCGTGCATATCAAGAGGGCGATCTGCGCCCACTCTGTCGCAAACCCGAAGCTGCGCCATGCCGATCTTGCTCGCTGGTGTTTCACCCGCTTCAGGATTCGTCCCGACCGTTCGACAATTGGGCGCGTGTTGAAGGGTGCCGAACAGTGGGCCTGCGCATCCTCCGATAACAACATCGTGCGCGTGCGCGGCGGCGCACACCCGGACCTGAAGCGCGCAATGGCGCGCTGGATTGCCAATGCGGGCCCGGCTGGCGTGCCTCTCACTCTCGCCACCATCCGCGACCATGTCGCGAACATGGCACGTGAGCAGGGGTTGCCGGCGACATTTCGCTGCTCGATCGGCTGGGGACGCCGTGGGTTGCGCCGCCAGGGTGTCACGTGCATGAGCGCGTGTGGCGAAGCGGCTGACCAGGACCTGACCGCCATACGCACGACTCAGGAGAAGCTCCCGCAACTTCTCATGCATCTTTCGGTGACACCGAAAGATACTTACAATTTCGACGAAACGGCGCTCTTCATCTCCGTGCTTCCGCGAAAGACGTACGGCAATGGCCGTGTGGCAGGACGGAAGTTGGCTAAGGAGCGCCTGACCGTCGGCTTTCTCGTCAAAGCCGACGGCTTGCACTCGTTCCGCCCCTTGGTGATTTCCAAGGCGAAGCGCCCCCACGACTTCCGCCCCGACTACGATCCCGAAGAAGTTTGCTATTGGCGCAGCAAAGCCAAGGGATGGATGACGTCGCCGGTGAGTGTTTCTCTTGTACCAATTTCTGTATTGTTCATATGTTTATATGATTATTTGTCTCGTTTCTATTTGCCGGTTCATGTGTTTTGATAGCTGAAGGTTCCCATCCCTCCTTGATCCATGTTTTCTTCTCCCTTCCGCCCGTCTCCATGGCAGCTTTTCACCCACTTTATCGAGCAGCTGAATGCGGCCATGTACGCCGAGGACAGGAACATCGTGGTGCTGCTCGACAACGCGAGCAGCCACGTGCTCAAATCTGAGGGCGCCACGTCCGAAGACCTCTTCGGATTCCGCACGCGCTCGCTCTCGAACGTCCGGCTCGTGTACCTCCCTCCGAATACGACGTGCTTCACCCAGCCCCTGGACCAGGGGCTGATTGTTACCGCGAAGGCGCGGTACCGGGCACATTGGCTCAGCTCGGTCACCGCGCTGTGGACCGCCGACGGCGCAACGCCCGCGGCGCGGAGGTTCAAGCCGAACCTCCGCGACGTTTTGGGCTGGCTTAACGACGCCTGGATGAATTGCGAGCGATGCACCATCCAGCGATGCTGCCATTGGCGACGTGGGCATTCTCATCGACCGACTCGGCCTCGGGCCTGACGCCATGCTGGCGGCGGAATTCGTCCGCATTGACGATAACCAGCTGACGTGCGCCGAGCCGGGTGAGGACCCGCTGGCGACTGAGCCGCCGGCTACGTCGGGTGCGGACATGTGAGAGGCGCCCGAGAACATGCAAGCGGTCTACGACGACGGCAACCCGGAGTCTCACGAGGCGAGGCGCTACGCACGCGTGGTGAGCGAGATGCTCATCGACTACGCGAAGGCAACCGGCATCACCCCCAGGGATCTATGCGCGCTTTTTGACATCCGCAACCCTATCATCAGGGCGCGCATGGAGTGTGCAAGCCTGCCTATTAACCTCAACATGACCCCCCCTCCCTCCATGCCCCTTGCCGCCACCCCGTCGGCTGAGACCCCTCGTCGCCATGGCCGCGTGCTGCCGGCGTGGATGACGGAGCCTACCCTGTCGTGGGCGACGCTGGCTCAGCAGGCTGCTCGCCGCCAGGAGCTGATTGACGGTGCTGCGCCTGCTGTCATGCAGGGCTACTTAGATGCCGCTGAATGGATGCGGTTGTGAAGGGGCCTTGGCCCCTTGGAGGATTTGTTATATCCTCCTGGGGCAAATGTTCACTCCTTGTGCACATTTGCCCAAGCTTGAAGTGATGACGGGGAGTTGCATGGGTACAGATGTGGCTGTTTCATTGGGTGAGTGGTTGGGAGTGGAGTTTGTGACAAAGTGTGGGATGTTCTGTAATCGCATGCAATAGTATTGGGGAAATTTTTTTGGTAACCATTGTGAGAATAATACGAGGAATGAATGAACTAGACGTGAGATGGGTACAAATAGGGAACCCTAGAATTGCTGTACCCCCTATTGTCTAACCCACTACAGCCTAAACAGACTATAACATATGTTTGACACACCCCCATAGGCAAAGTGGGGGAGAACAAGAGGTCACAAGACCAGTTAAGAGAAGCAAAGCAAGCTCAGGCTGGATCTCAAGGATACCACACAAATTCCGAGCACAAGCAAGTGGTCACAAGACCAGTTCACATGCAGTTTGATAATACAACAAGAAGTACAGTGATCACAACCTAGCAAGTGTAAACATGCAGGTAGAAATATATAAGGATCACAGTACAAGCAGAGTCAAGAAGTAAGCAAGTGAGGCACAGTAGGCACAAGGCCTAGAACAGTACAGAAACGCTGATGATCACAAGGCTGAAGGGCCTTGGTGAAGACATCAGCAGTGTTGGCCCGAGTGGCCACGTAAGCAAGACGAAGCTGACCACGCTGCTGCAACTCTCGAGCAAGGAAGTAGCGCAGAGCGATGTGCTTCGTTCTGTGCTCCAGTCTGTGCTCCTGACACAAGGCAATCATGGCCTTGTTGTTGACGTACATCACTGGAGGAGAACGAGGCGGCTCGCCAAGGTCGGTCAGCAGGTAGGTGAGCCAGCGTAACTTCTGTGCAGCCATGGCCCCTGCGTAGATCTCAGCCTCACAGCTGGAGCTGAGAACAGAAGACGAGCGGGTAGACCGCCACGAAACAGAGCCGGAGCCAAGGCTGAAGGTGTAAACCTGTGACGACCGCTGAGTAGCCAAGTCGTCAGCCCAAGAAGCGTCTGCGTGACCAGTAAGGACAACTGGACCTCGCCCTCCAAGCACGAGCCCCATGCCCGACGTACTGCACAAGTAGCGCAACACCCTCTTAGCAGCATCCATGTGCTCCTTCTTGTGTCGGCCAGGAGCAACATAGCGTGCTAGGATGCTAAGAGGGTAGGCTAGGTCAGGTCGAGTGCAGGTCATCAGGTACATGAGGCAGCCCACATGCTCTGGATACGGGCCACTCGGCTCTACGGACTCGTCCGAAGGTGGAGCTGAGAGCGAGTGACCGGTAGGCAGAGGAGTGGACTGTGGCGAGGAGTACGTGAAGCGGAAGCGCTGAAGGACCTGCTGCACCATGTGTGACTGAGTCAAGGTGATGGTGCGCTGTGCTCTGTCCCGGGTGATCCGCAAGCCAAGATAGCTTGTCAGCTCACCCAGGCCTGTGCACGTGTGTCTCTTCTGCAGCTCCGACTTCACGTGGGCGAGTGCCTCAGTGTCAGCAGTAGCAAAGACCAAGTCGTCTACGTACACGAGAACGTAGAACGGCGGCAGAGTGGTGTCGGTGCGTAGAAACAGCGACGGGTCAGCAGTAGAAGGAGCAAACCCAAGAGCAGCAAGAGTAGTCCTCAGTGTGTCGTGCCACTCACGGGGTGCCTGGCGGAGACCGTAGACTGGCCGCCGGAGGCTCCACTGGGTACCAGGAGGAAACGACCCAGTGAAGCCAGGTGGGCGGCGCAGCCAGATCTCCTCGTGAGGGCTGCCCTGTAGGAAAGCAGTGCTGAAGTCAAGAGAGTGGAGCTCGTAGTCACGCTGAGCGGCGACGTGTAGCAGAACCCGAAGAGTGGTCATCTTCGGGGTAGGGGAGAAGGTCTGGAAGAAGTCAACTCCCTCACGCTGACTGAAGCCTCGTGCAACGTAACGCGCCTTGAAGACAGGCAGAGAACCCGGCGGCCGCTTCACCCTGAAAATCCACATGCCACTGACGATGTTCGCCCCAGGTGGGGGAACCTCGTCGACGTAGGTGCCTGTGGACTTCCAGGAAGCCATCTCTGCGTCCATGGCTGACTGCCACTGAGAGGAGTAGGGATCCTCTATCGCCTCTGCGTAAGAGCGTGGGGTCGGGATGTCTGGTGCATCCGGGTCTCCCTCAGGGGCAATCAGCATGGACACGAGATGAGGTAAAGCAGCGGCAAAGCACTCAAACTCCTCCTGTCTGTCCTCAAAAACGTCCGTGCCAAGAGCACACTCACCCCCGACGGACGAAGGACAGACAGACTCAGAATCAGCAACAAGGCTAGCGGCGTAGTCTAGACGACAGGCGGCAGCAAAGTCAACAAGCTCAGCCACTAGAGCAGACGCAGCAGTGGACTCAAAGGAAGGGTCAGTGACAACAGTAGCGAGGAAACGCGTGACAGTAGGACTGACCGCCAAGAGAGTCAGACTCCGCGTCCAGACCGTCAGGAAGAGAGGACGCAGGAGGAGACGGCAGAGGGACACGCTGCGGAGCAGTGGAAGGACGCAGAGTCATACAGTGAGTGCCAGGGACAGGAGGAGGACGCTCACGCGGAACACGACGACCAGTGCGAACAGCGCGGACAGGCGACTCTGGACGAGACTCAGGCGACGCAGGACGAGACTCAGGCTCACGACGCTCCGTAAGACCTCTAGTCGGTCCAGAGTAAGGAGAGGGACCAGGCAGTGGAGAGGCTGGCTGTAACTGTGACTGCGACTGGACAGGCGGTGGACTCAGTAGGGGAGGAGTAGGACCAGTAGAAGGCGGGAGGCCAAGAACCTGCTGAAGGAGCGGAACGTAGTACGGCCGCGGCCGCGCACCGCCTCCTGAACCAGCAGAGACAGCACCAGTACCCCCAGCTCCAGGGTCTCCAGCTACAACTCCCGCAGCACCACCAGCTCCAACAGCTCCAGCACCGCCAGCTCCAACTCCCGTAGCAGCTCCAGTCCCAGTAGCTCCAGTACCTCCAGTACGAGCACCTCCAGGACCAGCGGCTCCAGCAGCTCCAGCACCAGCAGCAACTCCAGCAGCTCCAGCACCAGCAGCACCTCCAGCAGCTCCAGCACCAGCAGTACCTCCAGCAGCACCACCAGCAGCTTTAGCACCAGCAGCACCTCCAGCAGCACCACCAGCAGCTCCAGCACCAGCAGCACCTCCAGCAGCTCCAGCACCAGCAGCACCTCCAGCAGCACCACCAGCAGCTCCAGCACCAGCAGCACCTCCAGCAGCAGGCCCCCCAGCTCCAGCAGCACGGCTACAGCGCCGAGCGTACCACTCACAAAGCTGCCGTGGAGAGAGGGGCTCCCGCCTCGACGGGACACTCTGAGGACCTCCAGTCTCAGCACCCCCAGACACAGCACCCCCAGGCGCAGCACCTCCAGACTCAGCAACCCCAGGCTCAGCACCCCCAGACTCAGCACCCCCAGACTCAGCAACCCCAGGCTCAGCACCCCCAGCAGCACCAGAGTCAACAGCTACCTCAACAGGCTCGATTGCGTCTACCTGAGACACACCTGAGGGGGCAGGACCCTGAGGGGGGAGGGGGTCTACCGGAGGAGTACCTGGCGCGAGGAAGAGCGGCGGGGGGGGGAGGGGGGCAGTGCGGTAGGGGAAGAGACGGTAGTAAGGAACCGACTCGTCAAACGTGACGTCCTGAGAGGACAGAACACGGCGCGAGGTGGGGTGGTAAAACTGCCACCCAGGCGCGTCAGGGGGGAAGCCAAAGAAGAAGCAGGGAACGGCACGGGAGGACAGCTTGTCCGCAGACAAGTCGCGGACGAAAGCTCGAGATCCCCAGACACGGAACGCAGACGCATCACCAACCTTCCCCGTCCACCGCAGAGTGGGGGTGGTCTCCGGCATGGAGACCCGGGGCTGGAGGTTGATCTGATGCGCCGCATACTGAACCGCGAACGGCCACAGAAAATGGGGAGCAGCCGCATGGATCATGGACGTACGAGCGACATCCATGACCATGCCAATGCGGCGCTCAGCAATCCCATTTTGCTGTGGAGAGGCCGGAAGCGTGAACGTCTGGCGGATGCCCTCCGCCCGACAGAAAGCTCGCAGAAGGTCGGAGGAAAACTCTCCACCTCTGTCCGAGTGCAGACGCAGAACAGGAAAGTCCGAGCCGAAACTCTCTCTGAGCTGGAGACGAGCAGCGCGGATCCAGTCGATCAACACCTCAGTGACCTCACCCTTGCGGCGCAAGGGGAAGACCGTGGTGTAACGCGAGTAGTCGTCAACAACGAGCAGGACGTAACGCTCGTGACCCTGTCCACGGACGCGGGCTGGGCCCCACACGTCCATGTGAAGAGTCTGCAAGGGAGCCTCTGTCGGGGGAAACTCGGAGGAGTGAGGAGCGGCGCGCTGCCGGCCCTCGACGCAGGGAACGCAGGTAGGGGCAGGCCCCGGAGGAAGGGGTGGGAGGGACTCAGGAATACCTGAGACCAGAACACGGGAGGCCATGCCTCGAAGACGAGGCAGGGAGGGGTGACCAAGGCGGTGGTGCCAAAGGAGAGTCTCGTGAGCCAGGAGGCGACACGAGCAGGGGGCAGACTCAGGGCCAGACCGGGACGCTGCAGCAAACACCTGACCCGACGCGGCTACCTGACTAGGAGGAGACTCAGTGGTAAGGGTGTACAGGCTGGACCCTGGCCGACGGGTGAACGTGGCCAGGTGACGGCCCGTCCGAGCACACGTGCAGTGCGTCACACGCTGGTAGGCAGGGGTGAACTGGTGAACACCCCCATCCTGAAGATCAGCACCCGCCACCAAGTTCGTAGAGAACGAGGGGAGGTGAAGACCAGACAGCGAGCCGGACGGAGCCGCAGGACACGGGAGGACAGTGGAGGAACGGGCCACAATTGGTCCCCCAGAGGGGTCAGCCAGAGAGACTGCCACCGGCCGACTGAGCGGCGAGAGTGTGGTGCAGTCGCGAAAGAAGGAGCGGGAAGCA